TTGTTTATAGTTTCAATTGTTTTTCTATTTTCTATTTCATTTATTTCTGCTCTAATTTTTATAATTTCAGTTTTTTTAGAGGGTGTCGGGTTTTCTTGCTGTTCTTTTTTCACTGGAGATGTTGGTTTAGAGAGTCAATGGTCTGTTTTTCTTGCCATTTGATGTGTTTCCTTATTGCTATAAATTAACCTCTGATTACTGCTTTGGCTGTTTCCCAGAGGTTTTGGTAAGTGGTGTTTTCATTGTCATTTGTTTCAAGAAACTTTTTAATTTCATTTTTCCTTTCTTGTAGAACCCAGTCATGTTGAAGCAAGGTGTTGTTCAGCTTCCAGATGTATGGTTTTTTTCTCCTTTATCCTCTTGTTATTAATTTCTAATTTTGTAGCATTATGGCCTGAGAAAATGCTTTGAATTATTTCTATGTTTTTGAATTTACTGATGCTTGCCTTGTGACCTAAAATGTGATCTATTCTGGAGGCTGTTCCATGCACATTGGAGAAGAAGGTATACTGTGTTTTTTGGGGGTGCATTAGCCTATTATCTATGAGGTCAAGATGGTTTATTGTGTAGTTTAATTCTTGAGCATCTTTGTTGAGTTTTTTCCTGGTAGTTCTATCTTTTCTTGAGAGAGGTGTATTGAACTCTCCAACTACTGTCGTAGTGCTATTTCCTTTTTTTAGTTAATGTTTAATATATTTTGCAGGTCTTTCATTTGGTGCACAGATATTTATTATTGTTATGTCTTCTTGTTCTATTGACCCTTTAATCATTATGTAGTGACCCTGCTCATCCTTTGTGATGGTTTTTGCTTTGAAATTTATTTTATCGGAGATTAAAATTGTTACTCCTGCTTTTTTCTGGTTGCCATTTGCCTGGTATATTTTTTCCCATCCTTTTATTTTTAATCTTTCTTTATCTTCACTTTTTAGGTGTGTCTCTTGTAGACAGTATACTGATGGATTTTGGGTTTTTATCAAATATGCTATTCTTCTTCTCTTCAATGGTGTATTGAATCCATTCACATTCAGTGTGAGTATTGAAGGCAGGGTTTTATTGCTATCATTTTGTTGAATTCTTTTTGGTGTTGTTGCTAGTTACTTTGGTCCATGCTGCTGTCTGTGTTAACTCTGTAAGAATGAGATCTCTCAGTGTTTCCTGCAATGCTGGTCTTGTTTTTACAAACTCTCTTAGGTTCTGTTTTTCTGGGAATATCTTGATCTCTCCTTCATATTTGATGGATAATTTTGCTGGGTACAGTATTCTTGGTTGACAGTTGCGTTCTTTAAGAGTGTTTGATATATGTCTTTCCATTCTCTTCTTGCACGCATGGTTTCTGCTGAGAAATCAGCACTTAATCTTATCTGTTCTCCTTTGTAGGTTAATCTTTGTTTCTCTCTTGCTGCTTTCAGGATTTTCTCCTTAACTTTGGTTCTGGCAAATTTAACTATGATATGCCTTGGTGTTTTTCTTTTGGGGTCTATTCTATATGGTGTTCACTCAGCTTCTTGAATATATATTCTCTCATTCTTCATTATGCCTGGGAAGTTTTCCTCTAGTAATTCTTCCACAACTTTTTTGGTGTTTTTATTTGCTTCTGCCTGTTCTGGGACTCCAATGATGCGCACTGCTATTTCTCTTGATGGTGTTCCACATTATTCTTAGATTTTCTTCTTTTTCCTTCCTTTTTTATTCTGCTTTTTGCTCTAGCAGATCAGTGGTGACAATTCTTTTATTTCACTGGTTCTGTGTTCTATATCTTCAATTCTATTTATGTGTCCCTCCATCATGTTGACAGCATCTGAAACATTGGACCTCATATTTTGGATCATGGTTTCTTGTTTTTCCAGTGTCTCTAATGCTTTGTTTGTTTTCTCTGCATTGTTCTGGATTGTTGTGTTTTTAGCTCCTTCTGGTTTTTGCTTGTAGCATCCTGTAGTTATTCGAGTTTGTCTTTCATCCATTGAAAATATTCAACCATTGTTCTTTTAAATTCTGTGCCAGAAAGTTCCATCAGACTTTCTGGTTTTAGGAAATCCACTGCTACTGTGTCAACCTTTGTTGGTAACATCTTGTTTTGCGTTTGTGCAGTGTGTAGGGTAGCTTGTTTCTCGAGACATTGATATATTCTTAATCTGAAGACAATTTCTCTGAATTTCTAACTCAAGGAAAAGGTCAGTTCAGAGCCTGTGAGAGCAGTCTTTTGTAGGTAAGTCAGATCCAAGTGCTCTGGATTAAAGGCAGATTGATTGACTGGTCGTGTAGGCGCAGGTGTGGAGCCAAATGGGGTGAGGCAGGCAAGGAGGTGAAATAATCACCAGGGTGGGTCAACCATTTGAGAGACCTTACTCAGACCTTAGCTGCCCAGGTGTGCTCACAATTGAGGTCCCTGATCACATTCCAGCTGTCCGTCTCCTAGTCAGCAGTTCTCACTCAGTGGCCCCTACCCAGCGGCACTACCCAATGACCCAGTGGCCCCTGCCCGAGCAGAGTCCTTGGTCTAGCAGGACCAGTGAAGACTCAGTCAAATTTCCGTAAAGCAGTACGGGTTTAAGATCCTGTGGTTCCTAAAACTATTTGTATCAAGAAAAGTTCTTTTTAGAATTCCTATTGTCCGCGTCAAACAACAGACCCACTGGGTCTTAGTGGGGCTTAAGAGAATTCAGCCAATTTCCCCACTAAGCTTTCCCCTTTCAAATGTGTCCAGCAGCTTCTGGCTTTTGCTGATCCGAAATGCACACTGAAATGCGGACCGGAGTGCAACCCAGGCAGTGTTCATACAGTTGAGTCTAATCCATCAAAAGTTCTTATTCAAATTCTTACTGTCCACATCACGCAACAGACCCACTGGGCCTTAGTGGGGCTTTAGAGAATTCAGCCAATTTCCCCACCAAGGTTAACCTTTTCAGATGGGTCCCTCAGAAGCTCGGCTTGCAGTTTCCGGCTTTTGCCAATCCCCCGTGCGGACGGACCAAACTGTGGCCCAGAATGCAACTGAGACTATGTGCTCGTTCTGAGTCTAATCCAGCAGAAGTTCTGATTCAAATTCCTACTGTCCACGTCGCGCAACAGACCCACTGGGTCTTAGTGGTGCTTAAGAGAATTAAGTCAATTTCCCCACTAAGTTTTCTCCTTTCAAATGGGTCCCATGGCAGCTCATCTAGTGGCTTCAGGTTTTTGCCGAGTCCACACAGAGGCTGTGTTCTTACAGTTCCAGTACTAGAGGTTTCAACAAAAGTTATGCTTCAATTCCTAACTGTCCACGCAGTGCAACAGACCTGCCAGGTTTTAGTGAGGATAAAGAGAATTCAGTCAATTTCCCCACTAACCTTTTGCCTTTCAGGTGAGTCCCAAAGCAGGTCAGTTAGTGGGTTCCAGCTTTTGCCTGGCCTGCAACAGGACCACATCGTGTCAGGGTGTTAAGTTTTAATAGTTTCTAAAATAATGTGTTAACAAAAGTTCTGATTCAAATTCCTACTGTTCACATCATGCTGTGATGGTCTGTCTCTATAGAGCATGAAGTGCTCTCTAGTGTCCTGTCTTTATGAAGCTTGCTATCCCTCTGGCTCTTCACATTGTACTCTCCACCACTGCCATCTTCCCAGTCCATCTGCTTTGGCTTCTTGATATTCTAGTATAATATTCAGAGTCTCTTCTGACATCCATCTTGGTCTTTTTTTTCCCCTCTGTCTTTGTAAAGACCTTTTGCATTTTTCATTTGGATAATATTCTTGATATCCTCCCGAAGTTCATCTGGTCTTTGTTCACTGGTATTCAAGGCCTCAAACCTGTTCCTCAGATTCAGGAGAGATAGACTCAAGGTCAAATTTTGGTTCTTGTAGATTTGATTTAACCTTCTTTAGCTTTAATTTGAACTTGCATAAGAGCAGTTAATGGTGTGTTCCACAATTAGCAGCTGGCCTAGTTTTCACAGCTGATAGAGCTTCTTCATTGAGTTTGTTCACAGATGTAACTGATCTGATCATGCACATACCATCAGGAAATTCGTGTGTACAGTCTGAGTCTATGTTACTTTTAAAAGGTATTTGCAATGAATAAATCATTAATTATACAGAATTCTATCATTCCATCTCCAATCTCATTTGTGTCACCAAGTCCATGTTTTCTGACTACTGACCACATTATGTTTCATACGAAACTTCCAAAACTGAGGAGGGTCTGAGGTATTTGCTGCAAAAGGTCAAGGACTGCAGCCTTCAATAAAGGCTGAAGCTCAACATCAAGAAAATAAAGACTCTCACCACTGGGCCAGCTAGCAGCATCATGACAGAGGGTGAAGAGATTGAAATTACAACAAAACTATAGTAATTTAGTGTGAACTAAAAGGAATGACAGTTTTGCTAATATCAACCTAGAAGGTTCATGAAAGTACACAAGAGAATTGATATGCATCAAAATTTCTGGGGAAATATTTTACATATGTTTAAATACTAGAACATGTTTGCTAATAATTACTATGACAAAAATAATCTTACTTTTTTCTTCAAAGTAGTCTTGTACAATTTCCAGTATGTTCCGGCCCTCCTCCACATTAATATCAAGTATCCTAATAAAATAGAAAAAAGAAAAAATATATTTCATTTCCAAAAGAAATGTTATCATTTACTTTGAATATTTCATACCTAATTTTTGTTGTATGTACTAACAAGGTGGAACCAACTCCAGAACGTTTTCAGAGGCTGTAAATCACATGAGAAGAATGCCCATCTTTCACCCACAGAGAAGCTAGTCGATTCAAACCACATGCCTCTGGATAGGTTTGCAACCTAAAGAGTGCAACTCCTTAACACTATACCATGTTAACTTACCTGCTGGAAAAAAAAATGTTTACTCACCTACCAGAAAAAATGGCACCTTTACAAGAAACATAAAAACATGAGGGTCCAAACAATTCTAGAAAACGATGTGAAACAAAGTACACTTATATATCAATGAAAATATTGATTGATTGAATAGACATGCCTAAAATTGTTTTAGATACTTCTGTATCTCAATAACACAATTTTTAAACAAATCAAATCAGTCCTGAGACTTTTCCAGATAAGAAAGTATACTCACAAGTGTTAACTTTTCTTAGGAACACATTCCTATATTTGTGCTCAAATTGTAATTCACTACAAGAATAGTAACAAGTTATTAATTAGTATAAAAATGTAACTTAAAAAATCATGAACATCATTATAAATTTGCATGCAGTTATAAAAATGGTGCAGAGAATGCTTGTACCCTTTATCCAGTTCCCACAACTGTAACATTTGAAAAACTATAATACCATAACCAAAATACTTATATTGTTACAATCCATCAGTCTTATTATTCAGACTTCCCCAGTTTTAACTGTATTCATCTATGCATATCAGTGTAGGTGCAATTAGTCCTATTCCATTTCAGAGATGTATTTTTATACATTATCACTAATAAAAACTCTAATTCCATCACAAGATCGCTCTGTTGCTCTCTTATAATCACACCAATTTCTCTATGTCACCTCCCTCTTTCTTCCCATTCCTCCCCACTATTTCTAAAATTGTGTTCTTTGAGAAATCATACCGTATATAACCTTTTAAAATGGTAAGCATAATTTTCTGGAGATTCAGCCAACTTGTTGGCTGAATATCATTTTTTAATTGTTGAGTAGTATTTCATGGTAGGTGCATACCACAGTGTGTAACCATTCACAATACAAGACACATGAGCTCAAATCAGTATAAATTTTTGATATGCAATATCACATAAAGAGCCTTTAGGAATATAGACCATAATCTCTTGTTATAACTATTCAGCTCTGAAAATTTAACTTGAAAGTTGCTGGATAGAATAAACTTACACTGACAAAAATAGGCCATCAATTTACTCAAGATTATGAGCCATATGCCTTTGGAGCTCATTTATCAAAAATAAATTCTATGATGAAGATCACAAAATTATCTAATTCAGTAACTCTCAAGAGATATAAGTGTTAAATTATCTTTCAAACTTTGTAGAAATACACATACTTAATCAAACCAACTGAACTGAGATTTTGGGGCTAATTAAAAATACCCTGATGAGTAAATTTTATTAACTATTAATGGAATTCTAACTTCTCATCTTACAGATGAGAAAAGTGAGATCTAAATAGGTGAAATAAACTCCTATGAACGAACCTAAAAACAGAATACAGTTCACAATTATAAATTTGGCCCTAGATGATACCCTAGGACATCAAACACCGCTGTACAGTTATATACACTGTTATCAGATGCCATCAAGCATGTTCCAACTCACAGTGACCCTGTGTATAACAAACAAAATAAATGCACTATCCTCACATTCACTGCTATGTTTGAGTTCACAGCTGATGTTATTGTGTCTATCTATCTTGATATAGCGACCCTATGTACAACAGCCCTAAACTGTGCTCTATCCCATGCCAATCTCATTGCCTCTGACACACCCATCCCGATTACCCCAGTCACTGAATCAATCCACCTCACAGAGGGTCTTCC